GAGTGAACTTGGATAAGTCACTTTACCCTGGGGAACATCTACAGTCTTGTCTGTAAAATGTGGCTTCATGATATCGGTTGGATTAAATGAGATCCATGTGATCGGCCCAGCCCAATGCCCGTAGTACAGTCAAATGCTCGCGTTTGCTGCTTTTACTAACCTGATCAAGTCTGAAAGCTGTGAGGCAAGACTGAGCCCCTCCCATCAGAGTGGTTTGAAGCTGAATTTGGCTGGGAACTACAAGAAAACCTGGACTGGAAAAAGCCTTTGTTGCTTTTGTTTCCCTGAGATCTCTTCCTGACCTAAATCTTCAACGCTCACCTGCTACCATGTGTCAGGTCCATTTCCCAGCACGCTTTCTGCATTCTTGATTAATGCTGCCTCCAGTAACGACGGTTCCTCCAGACTCTCTGGAGGAGAGGACATCGGACATAGCAAGTTGTGACGCTGTTGACCTCTGAGCCCTGCTTGATACTTCAAAAAAGAAAGTACAAAAAGCGAAATAAGCCAGACAGAAAAAGTTGAAAATCATATGATATCACTTATATGTCGGATAGAAACCTAAAAACAACAAATGAATAGGACAAACAAACAGAGACTCATGGGCATGGACTATAGACTAGTGGTTACCAGAGGATAGGGAGTCAGGGAGGAGGGGGGAGGTAGACAGGGTAAAGGGGGTCAAATATAGGGGGGTAGAGGGTTGAGTGAAGTGGGTAAAGGGGATCAAATATATGGTAGCTGAAGGAAACTGGACTTTGAGTGGTAAACACACAATAGAATATACAGATGTCAAATTATAATGTACACCTGAAAATTATATAATTGTATTAACTAATGTTACCCCAATAAACTTAATTTAAAGAAAGAAAGAAGGAAAGCAAGCAAGCAAGCAAGCACTAAGCAAGGCATATCTGGCCAGCAGGCAATGTCCTTCCTGCAGAACACTCGGTTTCTAAAATCTGTGATGTCACCTCTACAGAGGTTCCCTCTTCCAGCCAGAAGAGTCTTCCCTGACCCTTGGTCTGCCTGGGCAGTGGGAGCCTCTGGAGTGCCCTTCTCTGACTACCAGCTTATGTTGGGTCCAGAAGGTTTGCTTCTAGGTTTTGTGGGCCAGCAATAAAAGGGCAGTCGTTTCTCAGAACCGTCTGGGAAATGATTAACTTGTTTCCTTTGATCCTTTCCACCTTGTGGGAGGAGAGTCAAGTGTTGCAGGGAGGGGTACGCCTTCAATTATTTTTGACATTGCTAAGGTAAACGGTGGGAGAAATTCTGGTCATGGGCAGTCCAACTCTGCTATTTGGAGGATTAGAAGCTGTGTGTGTGTGTGTGTGTGTGTGTGTGTGTGTGTGTGTGTGTGTGTGTGTGTGTGTCCCTTCTGTAAACAGAACTATTGAGTAAAAAGGTACGGCTATTTCCTCTTGTGTTTTCTTTCCTTTCTTTCTTTCTTTTTTTTTTTTTAAGGCCTGAATTTCCTGCTGCTATTCACAAAGATGCTTTTTATCTTTAACTTCTTGTTTTCCCCACTTCCAACTCCGGCACTGATCTGCATCCTGACCATTGGAGCTGCCATCTTCCTATGGCTGATGAACAGACCTCAGCCAGTCTTGCCTGATATTGATCTGAACAACCAGTCAGTGGAAATTGAGGTAACTTAGCAACACCTTTTTAGTTTGTCACCCTTGATCAAACACAAACTATAATTCAAGATTTTGCGGTGATTTATAAAGGGAATTGGGTATAACGTGGGAAGGTGAGCCAATTAAGTTAGCAATCAACAGAAAATCTATAAATTTAAACTTCTGTTAATGGCATATTTTCTTTCATAACAAAAATGAAACCACAGCTAGGTCTTATGATCCAGTAATCTAGATTGGAGTTGGGATATCACAACCCTCAGGGAAAATTCATGTGTGTATATGTGTGTGTGTGTGTGTGTGTGTGTGTGTGTGTGTGTGTGAGAGAGAGAGAGAGAGAGAGAGAGAGAGAGAGAGAGAGAGAGACTAGTATGCTAAGAATGGTTTTTACATTTTAAAACAGATATGTAAAAAAGAATTTCTTTTAATTTAAAAAGAAGGACAGATCATACACGTTCCACAAAGCCTAAGCTTTTCACTGACTAGCCATTTACAGAAAACATTTGCCAACCCACGATCTCAATGATAGAGTCAATACTTTGGAGATAGGAGAATATTTTCATTGAGAAATTCAATGTCTGAAAACAGTAAAGAAGTTACTGAGTTAAATTCCAGCTTTGAGTTAATAGTCTTTCTTAAAACTGGCAGAAGTTAATCCCCCGACTTTCAGCAAATGACGTGGCGTCCTACATCTCTGAGCAAAGAGAAAACTCCAAGACTGTTCTCTTCATTTTTCATCGTCAACGCTTTTCAGAGGAAAAAAGCATTCCTGTTTTTTAGTAAAGCCAAGCCCCTTCTGGTCTTTTTACAAACGTCTTTCCTCTGCTCAGAACTTTCACTCCTGCTTCCACTCCTCCCTCCCTCTCTTACATTCAGGCATGTTCGTGTGTCCTTCGCTGCCCTTGTCCTCTGCTGACATTGTCCTCTGCTGCTGCTGCTTCAGGCCACCAATGCCTTCCAATTGTTCTTCCCACCAGAGTTCTTGAAGGCTAGTCTGTCTGTCTGTCGATTTCCTTTTCTGAACTTCGACCCACCGAGGTTGTACATTTTCTACTACCATCTCCCCAAACTTCTCTGGAACACTCATAATCTAACTTCTAAATTCAATGATTTCTCCTTCAGTCTCTCTCTCATTTGACTTGAGGCTTCTCTTTTCTTGAAACTTCTTCTTTTGCCTTTCATAATATTGTTCAATGAGATTTCTTCCTGATTCTAAGACGGCCTTTCTTTGTCACGTAGGTTCTTTCCTTTCCTCATTCTACAGTTTCAGCCTCATCATCTCTGATTCCTCTAAAGCAAATGTTCTGTAAAGGCCAGCCAGTTAAGGCTTTGTAGCCTTACAGGCTCTGTTACAGCTCAGCTCTGCTGGGAAACCACCAGGCAATATGTAAATGAATGAACAATAAAACTTTGTAAAAGCAGGTGACAGACTAGATGTGACCACAGAGCAAAGTCTGCCTGCCAATCCCTGCTTTAAATCCTCACAGCTGAGAAAACCCTTCCTCTCCTATGATTTGAAAATGTACCCAAAAGGCTATGACACCCCAATCTGATTTTCTAGTTCTGGCCTCTTCCTGAGTTCCGGTCCACCTCAGTGACACTTGAGTACCTCAAGCTCCACCAGGGTCCTTATTGCATTTCTTCTCCACACATACACACACGCACACGCACACACACGCACACGCACACGCACACGCACACACATACCCATGTGTGCACTCTGTATTCTTGCCTGTTTCACCCCCTGCTCCATCTCAGTTAAATGCATCTCTTCTTATACAGTCGCCAAATGTCGAGTCTGAATCACCTTTTATTCTTTCTTCTTCCTCAGGCCATCTATGAACACGGACAGCAAGACCCTATCTTCCTTTACTAGACAAGGAATTTCATTTTTGACAATTTTGAATTAATGTCACATTTTATAGAAATCTTCCCTGATGCTCTAGACAAGTCAGATCTCTTGTTATAGCCTGATCTTGTAGTTTCGACGGACATTTCCACACATCCCTAGCTTCTACTCCTTCCTCAAATGACCTCATTCTCCAGCTGCCCACCAGATTCTACGATGTGTTTTCTTTCCTCTGTGCCTTTATTCAGTCTGTTCCTTCACTCTGAATCATTCTTCTTTCCGTCCATTCTACTAAAATACATCTTTCTGGTAAATGCTTACTTATCTTCAAAGTCTGTATTGACATATCATTCCTTCTCTGTAGCCTTTCTACTTAATACAGAATAGGTTGCTTCATTAGTATTCCAAAACATATATGTTTATTACAGCGTGCACATCACAGTACTATATTTGCACGCTTTTCCTTCTCAACCCACCCCCACTCAAAAAAAAAAAAATCCTTCTGGGGTGTTCACGGCCAGCAATTTTGTCTTAACTCACTTTGCATCTACCGTATTTACAATGCCTGGGACACAGTATGCATTTGATAGATGTTTAAACTTGATGTGATCTTTTAAAGGATAAAAAGCTATAATAGTCTCTCTCTCACGTGTGTGATGTTTGTGTAAGCACATGTGTGTGTACGCCTAGAGGGGGAAGGGGAGATTTCCAAAAACATAACTGTGACTGTCTCTGGGTTTCTATGACATGGAGATACTACAATTTGAGATTTAAAAAATTGATTAGTTGCGTAGAAAGGGCTAATCTTTGTGACCTCAATGGTCAGCACTTACATTCTCTTTAATCAGTCTGTAAGGATTTGGAAAGGGTCGGGAGAGACTCAGGCTTGGCCTAAACTTGATCTTGTGTCTTAGGGAGGAGCACGGAGGAGCGCAAAACAGAAAGACGACGAACTGCTCTCTTACTACTTCTCAGATGTCAAGACAATATACGAAGCTTTCCAAAGAGGACTGGTTGTATCTGGTAAGCCTGACAGTCTCACCCTGTCTGTAACAAGACCAGTATGGGGACTTGTTGCATACCTTTGTTTCCCTGTCTCACTTATAAAATCCCAGTGGTGGCCTGAATACAATTCCAACATAGAAGGTGGAGGGGACATTAGCACAGTGTCAGAATGGCTGCAGGAATCAGAAAATCAAAGAATCAGGAAACAATGTAGGACGGCCTTGGGTTTGAAACCCAGCTCTTCCATTTCCAGCTGTGTGACCTTATACAAACCACTTTGCCTCTCTGAATCCATTCCTCATTTAAGACGAGAACTTCCTGCCAAGTTGCTAAGGAATAGACAATGTGGACAAGTATTTTGATGAAATCACGAGTACATTAGTACATTATATTTGCTTAGGACATGCATTTCAAAAGTGCAATTCCCCAGATGCAAAATCTAAGCCATAGTTAGCATTCAGGCTTCCTGACTTCTTACCTTGTCCTTGACCCCAGTGCCAAACTACTGGCCCATGCTGCTGCTCTTAGTGTCACGGAGGTAATTATCTTTTGGACTTTCTTAGAAATGCCACCATATGGACTTTGGTAGGTTCACTTGGAACATAGCAGACCTTAGTACTTATGTCTTTTATCATTAAACACAATGCTAGGTACCCTAGTTTCCTTTCAAAATCAGCTGGCCAACAGCTCTCCCTATATCCTTTTCCTTTTGGGTGGCATTCTGTCCAGGCATCGATTTGCCTGTGTGACTTCTTATCCCTCCCTTCCCTTTTGCCTTTATCTCCGACTATGACAATATTTACTAGCCAACTCTTGTCAAGTAATAACTATGCAGTAGATGCTGCTCATATACCATCTACTTGACCTTCCCTAACCTCTGGGATTACTTATTATCCCTCCCACTTTTTAAAATAAGAAAACAAAGACTCAGAGATTTAGGATCATTCTGAAGGTGGCATACCTAGAAAATGTTGCATAACATACTTCATTTAGAAAAATTTTTTCAATATTAAATTAAAACGAAATAAAGTTTAAAATAGCCTCTCATGTAAGCAGATGTGGCCTGGCTATTTTTACAGAAAAAAACGACACTTCTGGTCCTAACTGGGGTTCAATACATCAAACCTAACATATGCTTTTAACTCCTACCTGGTAGATGGTCTATGTTATGTTGCTAATGACCTGTGAATAATGTTTAAAATATAGATCCTCTGGCTTCACCTTGTTAAACTGAATCAGAATTCTAGATAGTGAGACCTGAGAATCCGAATTTTTAACAAGGCTTTGGAGCAGAGGGAGGGTCTGCATGCCAGAGTTTCAACTCTGCTTAGTTTAGGGCAGCAATTTTGCTGAGTTGTTAATGGGTGGGCTCTTTGTAGAAGGCTACACCTTAGAGCAGAAGCTAGATCTGAGGTAAATTAATCAAAGGCTAGGCTGTTGCCTGATCAGGACTTTGGCTAATTAGGCTAAAGCTGATTAGGGCATAGAGTTTAATGAGACCTCAGTTGGTGCCCCTTTGGGCCAATTACTTGATTTGTTCCTTGGCTATGGGCCTCTGCTAGAATTTTCATCAATAGGGACGTGATAAGGAAGATGCAGTATGGTTTTTTCCACACTCATCAGCTCTGTCACTTACTGAGTGAGTTTGGAGAAGCTGTCCCTGTCCTGCCTGGCTCTTACTACCAAGGGGATTATGACAGTTGGAAAGACCAAATGGGCGAATGTGCCTAGCATTAAGTAAGTATTCCACAGATGGTGGTAGCTATCACCAGTGATTAATGTTAGTACAAACAATCGCATTGGTAAGCCATAGGAGGCCCATACTCTGGGCTGGAGCAGTGGCTATGAACACCTAAAAGGACAGGACTTGCCCAACTT